CCGTGCATCCCGTCTGTGGTGGGATAAAGGGGTGGGCATTCAGTCGACTCGAGTAAAAGGCGTAAAATAAGATGTCAATATTGGAATGGAGGATTTACTGAGGGTGTCCTTGTAGGGGTCGGAAGCGTTGGTCTGCACCATCCATCCGAGATGTGGGAAGACGACAATTGGTGCGATCCGCTTATTGTTCTTGTAGTGATACTTGTCGGGAATATCTTCTTTCCGGTAGACATCGCAATTTGGTAGCTTTTTAAGTCTATCGTACAACTGGTCCACCGTCAGACCTGTTTATGTATAACAGCATCGTCAATTAAATTAATAGAAATGAAAAGCAATTGATTCAAAGGCAATTAGTGACTAACTGTATGGTTTTGGCCATACACCCAATGTTGCTGGTGAACCATCAACTCCAAAAATATATTCATCTGGACTCAAAACTTCGCTGACGTTAACAATTTTCTTGTTGCTGACTCGCGTCATGCCATGATCGCTTGTGACGATGATGTTTGGTGGCTCATCAAAATCATCCGACTGCTCGATTCTCTGCAGCAAGTAAGCGATGCCATCGTTCACGACCTCCAACGCGTCAAGAACCTCTTTGGAGTCTGGACCATGTCCATGCCCACTGTGATCCGGCTCGTTGTAGTACATAACCACAAGGTTTACGTCGGGCTTCGTGATCCAATCCATTACGCGATCAACCCGAAATCGGATGCTTGGTAGACTGCTGTAGAGACCGAAGTTGACATACTCCATTTCACCATACATACGCGAGTCACTACTCGGCCAATAGACGACGCCACTTTTTCCACCGTTCCTTTGGTTGGTAAGCCAAATCTGTTCATTGTGGTTCATGGTGAACCATTGTGGCTGGAGGTTCTTCGTGGAATTGGTGTACTTGTAGTAGTCTTTCAGATCAGGATCGTAGAAGGTGTTGCCTACTAAGCCGTGGTGTTCCACAGTGCGGCCGGTGGCAAGAGCAAAGTGCGATGGAAACGTAAGTGTGACCATTACGTTCTGCACTTGCATTCCTCGGAATCCCTGTTTTGCGATTTTTTGAAAAGCAGAAACATTTCTGCCATTTTGAAGAGCATATTCGATGTAGTCGTGGCGGAAACCATCAAGGGAGACAAGAATGACTTTTTGTGCGTAGCATGTGCCGCACAACAGAAACAGGAGCACCAAAAGTGACTGCATTTTGCGTTGCAAACTGAAGGAGGTAAGCCTGTAGCTGCTTTTATAATTTGTGATTCCACTTGTCAATTGACGCCTCCAATCAGGCAAGTCTGCAGGTAAAGGGTGGATGAGTGCGTCGGACTTGAATGGGTGTGTGTGTGTGCGTTTGCGTGTGACATCGAAGGAAAGTATCAATTAATATACGTTGAAATAGATGTGACTTAAACACAATGAATAAGGTGTATATGCTCTAAAAAATTAAATGGAAGCTTTTGGGTTAACTGCTAGGAATCTCGACTCGGTTGTACTTTTACCGAACCCCAGTGCATCCTTTTAGTGTCTGCAGGCTTGTAACCTTTCTCACTGTTATAGCAACACGCTTAAGTAATTTTCGTTCCTTTTTAAAGAGGTCCCATTGTTCTCCAGCCCTTCTGTTCCTCTCATTCTAGTCTAATCTCAGGTGTTGTCTAAAATAAGTCTTCTAAACCTGCAATTACTTCTTTTATGGTCTTCTTTATGCGCCACCGTTTTTGTTTTTAAATTTGTATTTTACAAATGTCCCATTCAAGTTCCTCTCCGCGCTAAGCTTTGGATTCCACCTTTTGAGAATACGTACTGTTTCATGGAGTGAGGCTATCGACTAAAGAATGGCCACATCACCGGGATGACATTCCTGCAGAGGTCACATTTGAAAAAATCACTAAGTTATCTCACATTACATCCCCCTAATTCGTGAATAGCGCCTAGGATTTGCTGTGCATAGAGACCTGCCTCCTAAAACCCAACTGAGGTGGCCCGAAAGGGAGCTCTGCCTCACACGACAATGCCATGCACAATAATGCAAATAGAGGATTTATACTCTCGAAATCTGATGTTGAGTTTCCAGCGAACAGAGTTGGATGTGGGCATGGGAAGGCGAAAATCCAACCACTTAATCCCGCAAAAGTGCGATCTCAAACCGGTAGGTGCTGCAAGGCGTTGTTACTTGTCGTCACGCTAACACGTGTAAATGGGCAGAGGAAACACCCAAGAAAACAAAAGGAGGCTATTTTATAATTTATAATAATTTTTAATTGTCTGACTGACTAGGCGACCTCGTGTAGACGTGGAAGTAAGTCTCTACTCTTCAAAGCCTAAGCTTGGCAATTTTTCGGTTCGTATGTGACATGATGGAGTTGGTTCTGCTTCATGTGTAGCTGTGGAAGAGGATCTGGCGGTTTGCTCCAAAGGGCGTGGCTTTAATTGGATCAAGATGAGAGAAAACATCTTGCTCGTCTACGTCAATGAGACTCTTCGGTAATGGGTGTGTTCACCACACCCGCATGAAATTTTCTTTAAAGTCAACCAATCAGTGCACTGGATGATTTTGAATTTTACCCACCTCCTTCTGATAGGACACCTGTCCGACTACAAAACTGCCATCGCGTAGACCTACCAAGTTATCCCATCGCCTGCAGGAAAATGATTTTAGGAGAGGACACTACGTTGTCAGTAATGTCACATAATTACCGCGGTAGTGTAAAATATTCAAATCGCTAGTGGCCTTAGAAGCTGCAGGAATAGTGTCGATCCCCGACACTGTTTTGTAACTAACTTGATCGATGAGCACTTGGCAGGGTGATAATGGCTGCTGGTTTTGGAAGTTCGATGACACAAAGAACAGCAACCAAGAAAGAAGACTAAGCTAAAAAACAGTTCATTTTTATTAAAGAAATGGATGCATAAATTGCCATAGAATATCCTAGTGAAGGAGAGCACCAGAAGCATAGAGACGAAATTGTTGGAGGTACTCCTCACTCGGCTTGTTCTTCAAGAACGGTAGCACACGGTCGATCAGTCCGTCGATCTTGTTCGGCTTGTCCAGTCCCAGCATCGCACAGATGTAGGGGTAGAGGTCGATCTGGTAGAAGTGTTGGCGGTCGGTGAAATGTGGAATGTCAGGACCCATTGCCAGCATGAAGGGATGCATGTCTCGCTCCTCGTTGTCATAGCCGTGCATTCCATCTGTTGCAGGTGAAAGGGAAAACAAGGTGGCACATTATGAATAATGAAAGGGTAATGTGAACAGGCGATGGTGAGGAAAAATTAGGTAGAGAACGTACATAAATCAGAGTAGTTTTTCGATTTTGTGTTGATTAGCCATCCATTGTCAGCTACTGCGAAGACTGGCGCGATTCGTGGATTCTTCTTGTAGTGATATCTATCAGGAATGTCTTCTTTGTAGTATACGTTAAGGTGCTCGGTCCCATTAAGTAGTTTAAATATGTCTTCAACTGTTGTGTTTGTTCCATTTTTGACCCAAACGCCAAGAGTCGCTGGAGAGGTATCCAAATAAGTATTATTTTTGTGTGTTTTCAACTTTTCATACAGTTGAATTACTGTATTAGTCGGGTGCACATATGTCATTCCATGATCCGCTGAAATGACAATATTGACTTTCCCCTTCAATGATGGTGTTTGGTCTATTCGCTGCAACAGTTTGGCGACAGCATA